TTATTTAACAAAAACATATTACACACTAGTTGTATGCCAGCCACTGTTCTAGGCTCTGGGTATACAGTGATGAACAAGATTTCTGGCCTCAGAGAGCTTAGCAGGAAAGATCAATATCAAACACATATTTATGCTACATTATGAAAGGGAAGTACAATTTCCATGGCTGGGTTTTCCAGGCAGAGGCACCAGGAGCAGAGGTAAGGCTGAGAGTAGCCAAAGGTCAGGCTGGAGAGGGAGGGAAGGGCTAGAGCACAGAGGATCTGGAATACCATCTTGTGAACATTTACTTTGCCTTATTTTGTATTAGTGTTTTAGTTTTGAATCTGTTAAAGGAAAGATGATTCGTCTATTTTTTTCATTTGAGTGTTGAGCTTTCATATTCTAGCCTGAGAATATTTTTACATAGTGATATAAATAATTGAATGTTTTAAATATAGCAGAACAGATTTTTCAGATATTTTCTCATAAACTCAGTGTGTATTCTTGTTAAATTTTAAAGACACTGGTGAAGACATTTGAAGTGTGTGATCTTCCTGTTCGAGCTGCAAAGTTTGTTGCAAGGAAGAATTGGGTTGTGACAGGAGCGGTAAGTAATTATATGAATCTCTAATCTCATTTTCTGAATTGGTCAGTGATTGTGTAAATTAGTTGCAGAATTTTGATTTCTGATTTATTTCGTTAAATAGCAGTGTTTCAAAGCATGGACCTCATTCCTTGAGCCTATAATATGGCTTTTTGTGCAATATACTTTGTAACAGTGATGACAGTTTTACAATTTCCATTTCTAGGATGACATGCAGATTAGAGTGTTCAATTACAATACTCTGGAGAGAGTTCATATGTTTGAAGCACACTCAGACTACATTCGCTGTATTGCTGTTCATCCAACCCAGCCTTTCATTCTAACCAGCAGTGGTAAGTGATGACCTGTTCTGGTCATGTGCATCTCTTTGGGTAATTCATTTTCATTCAGTGAGACATGCTGTTCCTTAACTGCTGTTAAAAGTAGAGTTTTAATTCCAAGCAGTCTTTAAACTATTTAAATTCATTACCATGTTATTGATGCTGCTTGCTTTGTATTTTGATGAAATATCAACTATATTTAGGATTTGTATAGCAATTGCTCCAATTCCTGTCAGGGAAGACCTGAAGGTCTAGATGTTTAAACATTTGCTGAAGAGAAAGCTCATTTACATGCAGATGAGT